TTTAAACCGGTGACTTGGGACACCATAAATTATCCCAAGTGGCGACTCTAAATTTTTAATAAAATGATCCCGCTTCGATTGTCACTTTAAGTTGGAAAAAACTCCCTTATACACTCCCTTCCGAGGGTGTAGGTAAAAAGGAGGTGTGATAGGGATTAGGAGTCGAGTCCTATTTTTTATGTGGTATTGGTTGAGTACGACGTATAGGCATGGTGACAAGTATCTATACGTTGGTGTCAAGCATGCATGTGAGTCTTATATTGTGATTATTATGACTTCGTTGTATTATTCATACCTTGGTGATGATTTCTATTGTTGGGCAAAGTTTGTGGAAGTAATTGTGATATTTGAACATTGAGGAGAGTTGGCTCAAGTTGTATAACGAAATGTGAAAGTATGAATGGTAATTGAACCCTTTAGAGCATTGGCTCAAGTTGTGAAGTGAGTTGTAAAGTAAAAGTGAAAGAGAGAAAAGAATCATTATATTGTCTCCCTTGCCGGGATATTGTTGCTTTTAATGTTATCTCCCTTGCCAAGATGTTGATGCTTCTTTTGATGTTGTTTCCTTGCCGGGACTTGGTTGTTGAAATATTGTTCCCTTCCCGGGATTCTTATTGTAATTTCAAATATTTCCTTGCCTATTATTTGTGATTGTTGTTTGGGTGAGGAAAAGTGTTAAAGCACGAAGGGTGATGTCGTGTATTGTTTTGGTGAGAGAGTGTTAAAGCACGAAGGGTGATGCCGTGTATGATTTCTGAGGAAGAGTGTAAAGCATGAAGGTTGATGTCGTGCCGCATGATGTACAATTCCATGCCATTTATATTTATTTTACGCTGAGGACGAGAGTAAAAGCACGAAGGGTGATGCCGTGCACTTGTCTCTAATTTTCCTGATTCTTGCTGATAATTGAGTTATGGTATCCATTACGTTTATTTATTGATTTGCTGTTATTACTTGACTTTATTGTGATGTTATTGATTCTCTTGCCCTAATTACTTTGTGATTGTTGCTTGGGTGAGGAAGAGTGTAAATCACGAAGGGTGATGTCGTGTATTGTTTTGGTGAGAGAGTGATAAAGCACGAAGGGTGATGTCGTGCACTTGTCTTTGATTTCCTGACTTTTATTGATAACTGAGTTATGTTTTCTCTACATTTAATTGTTGGTTTCTGGTTGATACTTGTTGTACCCCGCAGCATTATTCCCCTTTCCTAATTCCAATTGAACTGTGGTGATCCTCATATTTATTTGTTGTTGTTCTGTTATTATTCGATGTCCACGCAACATGTTTCCCCCTCCCATCCTTAACTGTATATTTCTGCTTTTATTTTCCACTATATATGATTTAGTTGCACAGGTTTATTGGGTAGTCTAGTCCTAGCCTCGTCACTACTTCTCTGAGGTTAGGCTAGACACTTACCAACACATGGGGTCGGTTGTGCTGATACTACACTCTGCACTGTGTATGCAGATCCCGACGCAGTAGCTTTTGGACATTAGCTTGGGTGGCTGCCTTCAGCCCATACGGAGATCCAAGGTAGTCCTGCAGGCGTCTGCAGGCCCTGACATCCCCCTCTATCCTTTCTTCCTGTTTCATTTATATAATTCAGAAACAGTGTTGTATTCATTTTTTTCAGACCTTGTTTGCAGTATTTCTAGACCGTCTATGAAGCTGTGACACCAGTTCTGGGTAGTCGTTGTTCAAGCAGTTGTATTGGATATGTATTCAGTTAGTTTATTGTTTTTCTTCCGCTTATTGTAAATTTCGTTGTCTACACCTTATTGCTTCATAATTGTTAAAGAATATAAAATGGGTAAAAAGGTAATTTGTTCATATAGTCGGCTTGCCTAGCTCACATTAGTAGGCGCTATCACGACTCCTAAGGGCGAGAAATCCAGGTCGTGACACGTTTGCAGAGGTTTATCTTACCCCCTTCCCCTCCCGGAAAATCTTGGGGGAGTAAAGATTCATCATACGAAGGGCTCACCTGTGCCAAGCATACTTGGTAGCGAAGGCAAAAATCCGCAATCACAGAATCAAGCTCTCCGCTCAAAGAAAATGCACCCAAAGTAATGGGATACGTGTAAAAATATGTAAAACTTTCCTTGGGAAAGGTCACTCGCTCCGATAGAACAAGAGCAATGATGTCCAACTCGTGACAGCGGCAATTTTCCTTCATAGTAGAAATACTGGAAGGGCGAATCAAAGAAAGATACCTACTGACAGCCCATGAACGAGGGTTAGTAGTAGGAAATTTCTCTTCAAAGTCTTTTGTGGTGTTAAGACTTCAGGGGATGATGGAACCTACTGTTGGAGGAGCAGAGTCTTCAGCCTTGTTCTCTTTCTTTGAAGAGCCAGTGCGTTTTGAAGAAGAATCCATTGAATAAGAAGAAGGAAAAGGGCTTTGGTTCGAAGAGAATTAGGGAAAAGATGGAAAACAAAGATGAAAGTTAGAAGTCTGAGAAATTATGAAGTGCATAGGAGAAGGGTGATGCGTATAAGTAAAACTTTGGCTGCTAAATTCACGGCCATGATTACCTCGATAATCGGCAAAGCCTTTGCTGAATCGTGGAATGACGCATGTTCGAGGCATTAAATGTGAAGAGACGTGCGTCTAATCAACTGTGAGAAGCCTGCAAAGGGAATTGTACTAATTCACGCCAAAAGGAGTATTTCTACCAACTTCCCGGTAACATAAGATTGTGTCACCGGAAAGCAAGAGGAATATCTGTATAGGAAAAAATATAATATGACACGTGGTCATCTTAAGGAAGGACACGTGGAACCCAATACGGAGATGGTCACGGAACGCATCTATTTCGCTTGTCAACAGAAGGGAATGTTCATAAAGGTGTATTAAATGCTTTGCGTCCGATATCATTTAATAGGGAATATTCTGCAGCATTAAGAATGGCAGCCCGTTACAGGAAATTTGGCATTCATTTCAACCGTTACACCTTCATCAATGGTCCTCATAATTGACATTAAAGGAGGTCCTCTACCTAGACACAACTATAAATAGAGAGCTCAGTTATCATTGTAAAGAGGACGGATTTTCTGACTAACTTACACTACATTCTATACAAAGCATAAACACAATTTTACTTTCTACTTTTGATCTCATCATTGTTGTGCCCAAAAATCTTGTTCCCGGATTCGTCAATTCTGCTATTCCATCTACAATCTAAGGCTAAGTCTTTATATACTTCTCCGATTATTTTATTTTATTATTTCAGGATCAAATTAATTCACTTGTTTAGAAACCACGTATAAATTCAGATGTACCGTTTTACAGCTAAACAATATAATTACTCTACTATAATGGATTTTTCTCTTTCAAGACCCATACATAATTTTCACCAATCATTATTTAAGATACCTTATTTCAATGTCTAAAAGGCAGTCTGCTGGACAGTAGACACCATAAAAGTAGTATACTTGAGTGACAATTGTAAAGTACATTTATGAACCAAAAAAAAAAAAAGCATCTCATCACACTTAGTGTGTGTTTGAATTGGCTTATTACAAGTGCTTTTAAGCTATTTTATAGTGTTTGAATAGAGTAAAAAAATGTTTTAAGCCCTGGTTCTTAAGCTAAAATGACAAAAACAAGCCAAAAGCCAAAAGTTAGAATTCCTAACTTATGGCTTAAAAGTTATTTTGACTTAAAAGTCACTTAAAATAAGCTCATCCAAACGGGCTCTTATTAATCCGGAATACCCTCTGTATTCATTATTATTTATTAGAGTTATTGACCCTAGTAATAGGGAAAATTAGATTTTTGGTCCTTTATAAATATGCTTTTTGTTTTATGTCTTTTTACAAGAGATTCTTATTATTACATATAAAAAGAACTGAAAATAATACATAAGAAATTTGAAAAAGTTATTATCTTCTATTTAAATGGTAAGCAACCACAAAAAATCATTTTCTCCTAATATATTACACGGAATAGTTGTACAGTATTAATTCTTATAAAGGCATAAGCTAAAGCTATTTCCCATGAAAATATTATTCTCTCCAAACATCACCCATTATATCTCATCTATCTTTAATTTTAATGACCCATTAAATATGCGTGAATCTAGTCCTTAAACTTATAGTTTCTCGTGAATTATTAAATATCAATAAATATTTAATTATAAACCCAATTATTATTGTGTATTTACCTCAATAGCGTTGTAGAAACCTATAAACTTCAAATCCTAAATTTGTTTTGCCATTAAACTTTCTGACTAACGAAACTTCAAAAATAATCTTAAGGCTCATCGTTAGTTTTCAGGAAAGATTAAGTTTTAATCATTTACGTCATGCAAATCTAGAATAGCTGATGTAACAGGAAAGGAGGATATAGGCCTTCATGACTTTTTACAATATTGAAATTAAGAAGTGTCATTTTAGCTCTCTTATGTGGAAAAAATAAATTTTTTTATGTATAAAAAAAAAAGATAGGGTCATAAAACTAAAACTAACTTTTTAATGGGCCACAAACCCATTTGCTTAGTATTCAACTGAAATGGGAGAAATTACAAGCTTGTAATCCTCAGCTTAGGGGAAAAAAGGCCATAAAGGGGAGGATCCAGACTGCTAATATCTTAGCCAAGAAATAAAGATGCAAGTTCTTCTATGCCCTGCTATCTCGTGGGTGCTTTTCTTTTGTAGCTTCAAGTCACTTGTAATTTCAACCAGTCTGCCACTCAAAATCTGCTACTCCCTCTATCTTATGTGTCACGAAGAGAGTCAAACTTCTTAATTTTGACAATGAATTCAAATATAATTTTTTTTTAGGTTTTTTGAAATGATAATTACATACTTAGAATTTACGTAAGAAAATATATAAGTCACAATGATTAACCATTCTAAATATATAAAAGGCATATGAAAATATCGCAATCAAAGGAACACTCAGTTGACTCCACCACATAAATTGGGAAAAACGTGTAGTATTTTATCGGGTTGACTGGCTCTTTCACTGCATCTTAATTTAGAGTAGGCCCAAGTTGATCTTCATGCTCCTCCAGGCCCAATTCTTGAGTAGAGTTCATAATAGCTGAGAATCTTTTTTTGAAATAATATGTAGAATTTCAGATCATTTCCTGTGAATAAGTAATACTACTACAAATGACATGAACTTCCCCAAGAATACAGGCTATCGACTTGATTTCACACTCCTCAAAGGGAGAATTAATCCGTTCACTAGAAAACAATCCTGTCGCTAGCATCTATAAAATTGTAAGAGAAACTATTAGGAGGAAGTTAAGTTAAGATAAAAAGGAAAGCCTGTAGGTGGTAGCCATTCTCCTCCCTGAATGAAATTTCCAACTGTGAATTGACTGGCCTCGATGGAACTGTTGATGACTCTATAACCAGGCCATTTCACTCTAGCACTAGTACTTGAACCTGGTCCTCTGTTCATGTATTCCCCATAGTAAAGTGTCTTTAATGCAAAATCACCATTCCATTCCAGCCATCCAGCAGGCTCTATTAAGCTGCCAATGTATGACTGAAGAACGACAGTTCTTGAATATTCTTTCCAGGGACGTCCTAGATAATTCTTGAATGATGATTGAACAGGAATTAAATCAGCAGCAGCTTCTACTTTGCAGTTCAGGATTGAAATCCCAGTATTCTGGTTCGGATCTTCTCTTCCTTGGGCAGTGAATAGGTTCTTCTGATTTGGGTCTGGTTTACGAGCGTATAAGTTACAGTTCTGGAGAACTACAGCTGCGTTACCAAAGATGAAGTCGACTGTTCCATAAACGTCACAGTCGCGATAAAATTGACGAAGGGAATGGACGTAGAGGGTGTCTTGGTACGCAACAAAGCTGCATTGGTAGAAAGCAGATAAGTCTGAGCTACTCCGAAGAGCTACTGCTTGGTGCTTGCTTGGTCCCGCATAGTTTTCAAAAGTGATGCCTTTTGCTAAGAATCCTTTTCCCACCACGGCTGCATTAAAAGAGAATCACGAAATGTTAAAGAAAAGAACTGGAAAAACAGATAGTAAAAATCGTGATTCTTCTACCGTCCTAGCCACGTAGGTTGAACGATGGTCAAATGAATATCCTTCATCGAAAAATTATACTGTATATATAAAAACTTATATTGTATATATAGGTCAAAAATATTTTTTTGCAAAATTCCTAACTTTATCACTCGTTCACTTAAACGTATTTTTGAAGTGATATTATATTGTACAGGAAAATGTTAAGCAAAGACAATTGACTCAAGAAAGAACATGCAGGAACCAAATGTAGTACGAGGGACACGGTCACGAATATTGTGTCGTTGGGTTGCTTAAATTAATCAACAAAGCAAATTTTATTTTCTCGAACGCTGAAAGGAATTAATCTTTTATTGGGCTCTTAGAAACAGAAAAGAATGGTAACTTTGTGGGGCTCAGGGTTAATGTCAGGATTAAGAGGAATTAAAAAAGAAAAAGGAAAACAAGACGTCTTCTTATGCACATGAGAGGGCAGGCAGACCTTCAACCCAAAAATAAAAAAAAAATGAAGAGAGGGCAGACTCATTTTTGACTTTAAATAATGGTGGGAAATCGAGATATGTACAAACATAATGAGTTCTGTTGGAAAAGGTGAAAATTATATTAAAACCTTAATAATGTACAGGTTGCACGTTGGGAACAAGAATTCATGCGGTCTTAGTTGGATAAAATGGATCTTGGTGTCCAGTAAATTCCACCCAAAATTCCTTTGACAAAGGTCTAGGACAAATTTATTTTAACATAACCTTATTAACTAAAGAGTTTAAATTTTACCTCGGAGTGTAAAAGATTAAACTACAAAATAAGGTAGAAATTCTTTATAGTCTTACATTATTTACTGAATAAAACTTAATTAGGCACAGGAAACATTCAAAGACATGCAATGAACAAGGTAAGCCCAAGAAATATTTTATATATATATATTTATTTATACACGTAGAACAGTAAAACTTACCAACAGTGGCAGATCGGAAAGTAGTCCATCCATCGACATGATTCCGGTTACCCTTTATCTTTGTTTTTCCGATGCCATCTCCGACAAACATAATCATGGTTTTCTTCTTGTCTACCTCAACGTATTCAAAGTAAGATCCCTCCTTAATATATATAACGAATCTTGTGCTACTAGAGTTTGGTGCTGCACTTAAGGCCTCATTGATAGTCGTGAAATTACCACTACCATCCTTTGCCACTACCAAATCGAGCTTTGTCTGGCTTACTGGAGTTTGCAAAAGTGCTCTCTCCCGCCTCTTCAACCAGTTCGGGAACCCATTCTTCACAGCCCCGTACTCCGGAAAAACTTCTTCAGAAGACGATACTGATGTTCTCTTAATCTTGTTGAGCATGGCGAGGGAGTTGCTGACATGGTGAGCGATTGTATGCAGATTGTCCTCCACGTAACGGGTTAAGTTATTCTTTGTACAGTAGAAAAGTCCATCGAGGCAAGTATCCTCATTGGTCATTGCGGCACTGAGAAGTGTTTGGATGTCATTGTAGTGCTTAGAAGCAGATTTCTTTGGGGAAAGATCAGTGAGGGCTGTTCTGAGCTCAGCAATAGTTTCTCCTAAGAGTTCAACACAGTCTTGGAGTGCTCGTTTTTCAATAGGTTCCAGTTTGGGGACATTCCGACGAAGGTCGCTGCAGTTGTGGGCGGAGTCTCTGACCTCGCCCACTGCAACTTTTACAGTGGAAGAGATGATCTCTGCAATGGATTTACGGTGGAGATTTGGGAATGAGGAGAGAGTGGAAACACAAAGTTCCGGGTGAAGTGTTCCTTCGCAATGGGATTGTGCTATTTGGATGTTTTTGTGAACGTGAATATGCGGAGTCCTCGTTGCGACTGCTGTGGACGAAGATGAATTTGGGTTGCCTAAGAGAAGGAAGAATGTGAGTAAGACGAGGGCTGTGGAAGCCAAGATAACGAGTGGCAGTGTAGACGTATGTCTGATATTATACATTATGTTCTTATAAAAGTAGGGAGCTAGTAGCCGAGCTGATCAACAAGTTTCAAACTTTGGGACTGAAACAACAAGCTGCTGCTCTACCGCTTGAACTAGTATATAGGGTGAGGGAGAGCTAGGGTGGTGTAAAAGGAATACCGTATAATACTACTCCCTTCATTTCAATTTTAATTTTAGACGAGTTGTTTGACTAGAAAAAAGAAAAAGAAACTTTTAGAACTTGTAATTTATTAAAAGCCCGTGACATTTGTGTAATTATAAAAGCTTTTCATTAAAGATAAAATGGGTAAAATAAAGAGTTTAAAATTGAATTATTTCCAATTGTACAAATGAATCATTCTTCTCGAAATAACGGACCAATAATAAGAATGTGTTATCTAAATCGAGACACAGAGAGAGTACATTAATAGATTGCTGGCCCGTTAGGAATACAATAGAGGAAGTAATTAAATGAGGGTTAGCGTTTCCCTTTACTTTTGGATCTCACACATTACTTGAACAGGCGCTGGACAACAAAATACAGACAAAACCTGATCAATTGGCAGTACAAGGTGCCTGGCATCAACTCAACCGGTGTAGAGTTGGACGTTTTCACCTTTATCTTGTTTAAATAAGTATTCAGCTTTAGGATGGTAGCAAATTTAAGAAACATTAGTCATGCAGAAGTTTTAATTTTTCAAATAGAGAAATTAAATTAGACAGACTTTATTAATCTGGACAACTAGAGAACAGTAGATGCAATTCTAGGGTAATTAAGAAATTAAAGTCATGAGATACAAACATTTAACATAACATCATAAGATCTCAATATTATTTGCAAATTTAATTAATCTCCTTTCAGTAATACGTTTTTGCCCTCTGGAATCACGCTCCAACCCACGGTGCAACGGCTGTGTTGGAATTAAAGGAAATGGAGTAAATAGTTATAGTACTAGTATCAGATTAATTAAGCACCCTTAACCCATATAATTGCTCGTCTGGAATTTATCACATCACATGTCTGCTGACAGCTGACTGCTGCTGCTGAACCAACAACCTTAACTAGTCTTATTTTAGTTATTATTTATTTTTCGTTCACTACATGGGCGCTCTGCTATTTCCATACAGAAAAGAACTGCAGATTGAATTGGAATTGGATCTGATCTATTCTTCATAAGTCTACGCCAATTTGTTTCTGTGTTTACATTTCCAAGTACATTTAAAAGGAATTCCTCTCTCTTACTCTCTTCTTCTCCAGGCCCAGGCGGTGAGGTGGGGGACTGGGTATGGGTAGGCCTGTGCACGGATCGGATTGGATCGGATTTAGCACATTTTGGATTTGAATTTCGGATTTCAGATTCTAGAAAATGCAATCCGAATCCAATCCGAATTATATCGGATTGGATCGGATTTTAAAGTTTGGATCGGATCGGATTTTGGATATTATTATGCCTCAAAGTTGCAAACTACTATGTATATTTTCTTTGTAAAAGAGGTAATACATTAAGAAAAATTCATGTTTATGCAATTATAAGAGTATTATGATGCCAATATAGCTAAATCTAACAATTGTAAAGGTAATATCTTGGAGGAAGATTTAAAGGAATTACTGACTATCCGAAATTAAAGTGTAGTATTTATACACTGCCTAACAATTTCGGATCGGGTCGGATTAAAATGTACCAATCCGATCCGAAATCCCAAAATTTTATTAAACACAATCCGAAATTCGATCCAATCCGAAATCTGAAATTCGAAATTGAATAGATCGGTTCGAATTTCGGATATCCGATCCGAATGAACAGCCCTAGGTATGGGGCTTCCTTTCTTGAAAATGATTATTCTTAGGCTTCAAGCTGAAAGAATTATTGCCTAGAAAACTCTGTTTTTTTTCTTTTTAATTTTTCGGTAACAGACATTTTACTATCCCTTTGATTGGGCCGTGGTAGATTGGTTGGTGGACATACTAGAATACTAACATCTAAATCTACGCAATTACAAGGTCGCCAATGCCATTGCCATCACTTCAAATTTGTTAAAGCATTTAAATACGTTGGGAGGGAAGCAATCATCTTATTCATTACAGTACACCACAAGCACAATACTTTGCCGGCGCATAGGCGGCAAATCTAACAACTTTATGAATTCGAGTTTGAAATTATACAATAACTTATTTAATTTATTAGGTTCGACGCTTATTGCTTATACTTAATTATTAGTGAATTATTAACACATATTTAGAATCTAAGCTAAAACTGTACTGAGTTGAATACATTTCCAACTTTATACTACACTAGTAAATATATTTGCGCTTCTCGCAAAAACTAAAGATTTTAAATAATCTTTCCATAACATATGAATGGTAAAAATATTTTAGCCTCAAATTTAAATAAAATAAATTTCAAGTTTATATCTAATTTATTGTTAACACATATTTTCCTCCATTTTCCATCACTTTAGAAGTGTTATAAAAAGTTTGAAGAAAGATTGATCTCATGTGCAATGAGTAACAAACTTTAAGACATAGTATTTTCTTTGTACATTATTTGATATATGTATATAAGTAATTAATTTTATTTCCATTAATGAGATAAATTTTAATACTTGCATAATCTTTCCTCATTTTAAATCTAAAAAAAATGGTTACTACATAAATCCCCTCTCAACTTGTCTCTTAGTTCAACCTATACACCTACTTGTAAAAGTGTGTTTTCTATTTACTCTCCTTAAGCATGTGAAAGAAAAATATAGAGTTGAAAATACATTAGTTTATGTATATAATTTCTAGTAAAATTGTAGAATGAACTCATAACTTTAAAATACAACAAGTTCAATACCAATAATCTATAGATAGAATCCATAAAGCTTAAATTCTGAATTCGCCTTTGATCGATGTAGAGCATGTTTAACTGTAGCTTATTAAGATTAATGTGTTTTTTTTCAATCTTAAGTGTTATTCACTTCTATATTTTAATGTTGATATTTACGCAGCATGTATGCACATATTTATGTCAAATTTCTCCATGGAAGTGCTATGTGGAGCTCTTTGCTTTCCCACAAGTTTTCTTTTCTTAAAAGATAATGTTTGTGGATGTCCGTACCTTACTACAATCGGCCATTTAGATTGATTTGCACCACATCGTAATTTTAGAAATAGCTTTCAAAAGTTGGATAAGAAAAGCTGTATATCTTTCCAGTAAGCGCTTCCAAGTGTTTATTTTAGATGTACAATACTCAACTCTAATCTGAACTAAATAGTTACTTGGAAAAATTAATTCCCATTCAACGTAACTCCACAACTTTTGGAGGCACCAAACTATACACAGCCTGAAAAAGTATTTTTATTCAATCTCACGGAAGTGTGAGTTGTACTTTCTCCCCCGACACATATGAAGAAACCAAAATCCACCAAAAAACTCACAATTACAAAAAATCTCCCCCGAACGTTCGTGCATATTTTATAGTAGCAAACAATTAAAAGTTCTTTAGTTTGTGGAGATCTCAATATAGATAAGAGTATTAACCTCAAGAAAATTAAAGTAGCTACCGAAAAGTAAAACAATGCACAAACTAGGAGTGGCAAACGGGTCAGGTCAGATATGGTTTGGGTCGAAAACGGGTAATGAAAAAATAGATCTATTATCCGACCCGACCCATATTTAATACGGATAAAAAATAGGTTAACCGGCGGATAATATGTATTACCCATATTATCCATGACTTCTTGTATATGATCACTTTGGGAGAATTCTTAGTCTCCATAACTTGAGGAACCCCCAATTTGAGGCTTTACAAATGTAAAAGTTAGACTCACTGGTTATCCTTTGGTTACTCATTGATTATCTATTTTCTAAATGGATAATATGGTTCTTATCCATATTTGACCCGTTTTCAAAAAGTTCATTATCCAATCCATTTTTTAATGGATAATATGGGTAGTTAACTGTTTTCTTTTAACCATTTTGTCACCCCTATGCACAACCTTTTGAATAGAAAATACCTGAGATTAAGTTTGCTTAATTACCTCTTGTTCAAGCTTAATTAGAAACCTTGTTAATTAGCTTTCTGATCCATAGTTTCATAATCTTGGCTTGCAAACTACTGGAGCAATACCCGTTAGGGTAACGATGTCAAGACATCAATAATACGCTGCATTGAAATGCCATTGTGTGAGGAATTTGGAAATGGTGACTGGAGCTTCTCACATAATAGTTAACAGACATACTTGCATAAGTTGCAAACGGTTGGTATTGCTCCTTTTCAACTTTAATTATCAGTATTATTGCAAAATTGTAACCGTTCAATTATTTTAGTTGTTGCAACGTTTCGTTCTTTCTTTTGGAAGAAAGAAAAAATTGTTTCGCTTGTTGAAATGTTTAGTTAGAGTGTTAGCTATAGTGTTAGAAAGTACAACTAGATGTCAGCTATGCTAAGTTAGTGGAGCATTAGTTAGTTAAGTAGGTATTTAGTATTAGCTTATTTTTATATATAAATACACACTAGTGTACATTGTAATAACGACTTCTAACAAAAATGAAGAGAAACATTCTTCTTCTCTCTCTGCGTAACTGCTTCTTCTTCTCCATAGCTCAGCAACTCAATCTAGATCTAGGATTTCATCGTGGTATCAGAGCTCGCGTTGAAAATCCATGCTCCTAGATTCTTAGATGCATTCAGTAATTGAGTTCGAGTAATTTTCAATATCTTCGAAGCTAGGGCTTTATCGACAATCAATAGCTGCATTCTCTCTGTTCTTCTTCATCTAAGCTCGATTATTGCCAACAATGGCAATCGAGAGTGAAGAAATTGATACAAGTGTAGCAACAGTCGAAGGAGGTCCTATCTTAATTGATCAATATCATCCACTGCTCCTTCAACCATACGATAATCCAGGTAGCTCTCTAATTTCAGTTAAATTAACTAGACCTGAGACTTATATACTATGGAGTAGTACAATACATGTGAGTTTACTTGGAAATATTAAGCTAGAGTTTGTGGATGGTAGATATTCTAAGGATAAGTTTGATGGAACTCTTCATGAAATGTGGGAAACGTGTAATGCCATAGTACTCTCATGGATCATGAATTCAATAAGTGTTGAGTTGTTAAGTGGCATGGTGTATGCCTAAAGTGCTCACAAAGTGTG